GTCCCACCGCCCAAGTTGAGTTTTCTCAACGCTGAGCTTTCTATCACGTGTGGCATGGTGGGACGGAGCTCTGCCGTTGATGTATTGCGAATCTAGTGGTGTGGAAATACAGGAGAATAACCTTTTAGATTTGGTCATTTTGTATATTTTATATTTGACCTGAAATCCGTTTTGTCCTATGCTTTGGGCCTTTCGGTTTGGGCGGGAAACCATTTTAGGTTGAGAAATCTACCCTGGGGGGGAACTATGAATCCACGTAGGTGGAAGTTACACCAGTGCTTTGAGGAATGTATCTGGCCAGTATGGGTCTCACTCCACTACTCTAGACTCTCGAAGATTTTCGAGAGTGAGTCTAGAGCTGGCAGACTCTAGAAACGACTGAAAAAGAGAACATCGCTCCACTTACTCTAGAAGGTCAAACTCAAGAAGGCCTCTCGGATGTCAGACCGCTCTTTGAGAGAGCTACACGACAGGGCCAGCACGTCGTTGTCCGCCCAGACTTCAGGTGCACTCAAAAAAATGCTCAACTTTTGAATGTCCTGGGACCTGGATGCCTCCCTTGAAATTCCCACCGCTGCAGGCGGAAGCTCTCTGAACGTCAAGAGTGCCACGGGAGAGGAGGTTCTGACAACTCAAGAAATGCATTTTTGTGAGTGTGTTTCATGAGGTAGTGGAGCGACGACGGATTCTCGCAATTTTCGTGAGTAGATACTGACAGCTCAAGAACCCGAATTCCAGAACTGGCGTCTAGAGTAAGTGGAGCAGTGACGCGCTAAAGAAACGGCCGGTTTCTAGAGTAGTGGAGCGAGACCCTATGTGTTTGCTTTTTGTTGTGAGGTCCTTGTAGCGCCCTGCCAGCCAGGCAGGGCCAATTCCACCGGAGGCAGCTAACTGCCTTGCTTCATTCAGTTCCAGACAAGTACTGGAGCATCCTGTATCGGACCACAATCACAGCATAAGGAATGTTTTTTTTTTTCTTTTTTGATCTGCTGTTTGTGGATAGAAGAGGGCCCTGGGCCTGGGGCCTGGGCTGTGGTCCCATTAGCAGTCGGATAGGAGTTTGGCCAATCCAGTGTGACACGGAGTGGCAGGGGGATGACAGGTTCATTACGAATTTCTGGGGTGAGAAAACAGGAGGAAGGCAAGAAAGAAAAAAAGAAACAGAGACCCCCCACCTGAAATCACGGCAGAGTGCTTCCCAGCCATCAGATCACAAATGATCTGATGGTGGTGGTTGCAACAACAGTGCAGAAAGTAACTGCCACATTTTCTGGAATAAACTCTACTTCTGTCAGCAGTGATCCTGACACCCTCCATATACTCCGTGATTGAAGGAGGGCTCCACCCAATGAGATAATTGCACAACAGCAAGCAAAATACTGAAAATCTTCTATCCAGTGGGCCTATGGCGGGTTGGCCATGCCCCCAACGGATTGAAAAGATTTTGGCGGGGAGGGGAACCAAGATCTCCTTACTTTTTCGGCTAATACATGTAAAACACCGACCGTGGGATCACGGCTACTGCACGGCAGGATTTGGGTCACTCAACTGCCACACAAACTCTTTTCTATCCTATCCGGTTTCTAGTGGGACCATGCCCCTGGACCCACTAGCGAAGTATTCTACCACGTGTGACACTGTTTTATGTTTTTTTGGAAAATACAAAGTGATTTTTTATTTGCATGAATGAATCGTTTTCTGATTTAAAATGAATTAAAATAGCACATAAAACTATGAAGAACAGCTGTGCACCCGAATTCATGGGTTGGTACTATCTCCTTTACGTAAGTCTTCATAGTGATGTACCGTGGCAATAAAATGTGTCCACGAACACACTCACGAGGATGAACAAGTAACCGGTATTGGGATACATTGAACAAGTAACGGGTATTGGGATACATTCCTCGCCATGTATCTCATGATGCCTTCAGCAGGCCATCCGACAGACCCCAAAGCGTTCCTGTCAGATCCACCACAATATTCGAATTTCACATTTCGAGTTCTATTTCTCAGAGCCAAAAAAAAGAAAAACGATGTCTGGAAATCAACCCCCCCCCCTTTAGAGCCAATAAAATCCAGACTTCCCGCCCACGCAAAGCTACCAGCTATCATGTCCAAGTTAGTCCAACTTTTTTTTTTTTTTTTTCAAACGCATCTCGTTGGCCGGGAGGTAGGCATCTATACAGTCCCCGCTTGGAAACTACCAGGCTGTCGAGATCCGATCTATTCGTACTTTGTCACTCGAGGCCACACGTGATCGAAATCCTGAAAGAAGTGGTAGAATACTTCCCTAATGGGTCCAGGCCCGTGACTGAACTGCTACCCAAAGGCAGGTCAAGTTTCAGCTTTCAACAGCAATTGAAACTCGGCCCCTGCTAAATCAGTGTTTCGAATGCAATTACAAACTAGTTTCCTTTAATATAGGGGTAACTCCGGCGCAATCACGAAAACAGTTTGTAATTGCAGTTCAGGCAAGCCCGCGAATACAACACACCCCCACGCGACCCCACCGGACCCGAAACGTAGGTCATATACATTCAGCATTACCGGCCCTTTTGCCTCAAGTGCAATTACAAACTCAATCCCTGACTGCACCGTAGTTTTCTCTTTAATATAATATAATATAATATAATATAATATAATATAATATAATATAATATAATATAATATATAGATGGTTAACAGAAAAGGAAGGAGAGTGTAACATTAGTACAGGCAGACCAGGTTCGTGACTCAGAGAAACTCAACGTCGTCACCGTCCGGAAGTTCGGACAAGTCGACAAGCCTCGACACATCTGTCATAGCCGTCAAGCGGTGCCAGCCTGCCTCCACGAGCAAGTTGTGAATGTACTGTACGATGTCCCTCATGGCTGGCCTCGATCTGTACTCGTACTGCACGCATTGCCAGGCCAATCTGATAGYGCCCATCACCATCTGCTTTATGGGATCCTCCACCGCTTGCTCCCTCAAACAGGGATCAAGAATTGCGTAGGGCAGCTCCACACCCTGCTTTCGTACGACGGGCCCAGGATCATCTCCATCTTGAAGGAAAGGCCTCACCCATTCCACGAGCGTCTGCCATCCGACCCCAGAAGCTGCTGGTGCAAGGACCTTTTTACCCGTCAGCACCTCCAGAACGAGGACCCCAAAGGAGTAGACGTCGTTCTTGTCCGACAGCTCACCTTTCAGCATGTACTCTGGGGACATGTACCCAAAGCTTCCGCCGATGTGAGAGGTCAGGACAACATGCTCGCGCGCAGTCCCTAACACTCTCTCTCCTATAGCCGCCAGACCGAAATCGGCCACGACCGTGTGGAGCCTCTCCCCAAAACCGGTACCAAGAAGAATGTTGTTGCTCTTGATGTCCCTATGGATGATGGGCGGTCTGGCCGCGTCGTGGAGGTAGCAGAGGCCCTTGGCAACCTGGAAGATGATGCTCATGCGTTCCTGAAGGGTTAGAGGCCGGAAGGCCCGCGGAGGCTCCTCTGGAGGTGGGTCTGCACCCGGCTCGGAGCTTGGCTTGGGGAACAACCTGTCGTGCAAGCTTCCCCCACCAAAGAATGGGTACACCAAGACGCAATGCCCTCCCTCCACACAGTACCCGACGAGGGAAACGAGGTTGGCATGATTGAGTTCGCGGAGAGTGTTCACTTCTGAGATGAATTGCTTGCGCTTGTCGTCCGTCAGCTCGCCTATCATAACCTTGATTGCCACCTCGGCCCCGTGGAGTGAGGCCCTGTATACTTTTCCGAACGCCCCCTCCGCCCCGACCCGATAGACATCGCTGAAGCCGTGAGTGCAATCCGTCAGGTCTTTCAGGGGAAAGCTCTTCACGCGCGACATGTCAAGTCCCCAGGTGTCGACAGCGGTCGGCTGAGGCAATACCGGTCGTTGCTCACCGGATGCGGCCAATATCGGTCGTTGCTCACCGGACGCGGCCAGTGTCGGTCGTTGCTCACCGGATGCGGCCAATATCGGTCGATGTTGGCTGCTATCGGACGAGACCATTTGTTGTTCAATGGCCGGAGACCTGTGCCATTCAATTTGTTGATTGGTAGAAGACGGCGGCGGCTGCTGATTGGCCACAATGTGGTTCGCCTGCGGAGGGTACCGATTGACCAATTCAACTGCTGCCGGGGTTATCGTGTTGCATTGTCGGAAGATGAATATGATGCATAGGATTTGGAGGATCAGGCCGACGATACCGCCAATAATAGAAAATGCGATTATCGCGTTAAAGCTTGATTTGAAATCTCCTGGGCTTGGCCCAGACTCCTGGAGCCTCCGAGACTTCGACTTGCAACTCCACAAGCGACCCGTGTCGATTCGTGCTTGGAAAAGATTGCCATCGCTGGCGCCAAGGAACAGGCGTACTCCGTCGTGGTCCTCGTGAAGAGCTAATCCCGTGAAGGCTGCCCGTTTGTACTCCAGAACTCTTTCCATGTCTACCGCCGCCTCCGCACACGATGAGCCCAGCGTCAGACCGAGAACAGCACCCCTCGGTCCGGTCGCGAAAAGGCGGCACCCGTCGGCAGTTGTCGCTAATATGGCAGCTGGGAAAGGGAAACGCGCGACAAAAGACTGTTCATCGGGATCCCGACCGGTCCTCAAGTCAGCTGCGAGAGTGCTAAGCGACGATTTCACGTGATTATCGATCGCAAACACTCGCGCTCCGAGTCTTGCACGCTGAGGCAGTTTCGTCAGATGGCAGAGGCAATTACCGCTGCTGTCCGAAACCAGACTCTCATACTGAAATTGCACACCGGTGGCGTTCACATTCAGCTTCGAGTGATAGTCAACAACGTGCTTGGGCTCCTCCAGAGGCAGGCCGAACTCTCTCACCGGGACGGAGAGCACGCCATCGCCAGATTCGACGACCGAGAGATACACACGCGTCCTCCTGTGGTCCATCGCTAAAGAGCCGACCGAGAAATTGAGCGGGGCAGAAGATCGAGAACCGTCAGCAAGAGACAAAGATGTGATCATGGAACCCCCATCCCCACTACTGACGCTAAGGACGAGATGCGAGCCTCTCCTCGACATGGCGGCCCCCGTTACGTAAGCCATGGAAGAGCGGGTGAACTTCCTACTAGCTTCTGCTACTCTTGTCCCGTTCGGCTCGTTGAAAGGCCACCAATAGCTTATCACTGTGGATTCGTCACCGTTGGTCGGGTCCGAACCAGGGTTCGTCTTGGATGGATAGGCGCTTCTGACGGACATAGCGTCATCGGTGATGGTACCGTCTGCAGAGGCACACCATTGATGCAGGACGTAGTACAGATGATTGCGGGAAACAACGAGGTTGCGGACGTCCGATTGGCAATGTCCACGTGGCACTGCTGTATTGGCAATCAACGGATCATGTGATCGTACAACTGCCCATGAACCGGCGAGAAAAACCGGCGAGCGCGCCAGCGGCAGCTCCGGATGCGGGTGCAAACCCGACAAGACTGGTCCCGCCCCCGACGGACCGACACGTGTCCACTTCCTGAGACGCCCGACATTTGCCTCGCCGAGCGAGTCAGAGAACGCAGCCCCTGATGAGAATCCCCCAGCCGACACGTGTCCATTCCCGCATGAACCGGACAGGACACGGCAGCCGCACAGGAAAGCCACCAACGACACCCAACCGAAGAAGAAGATTCGGACAGCGACATAGCAAGACATATGATATTGCTGAAGTTCACTGAGCAGCACACCTACCTGCCACCGCCCCTCCCCTCCCCTCCCCTCCCCCTCAACCCAGTCTGTAAACTTTCGTAGTCGCAGTCCTCACGCTACTCTGTAAATCCCAACCAATGACTTCAACATACTACATACCACTCTGCCTCTCCGTCACGGCTTCGACATGCGAGACTCTCTCTCTCTCTCACTCTCTCTCTCTCTCTCTCTCTCTCTCTCTCTCTCTCTCTCTCTCTCTCTCTCTCTTTCTCTCTCGCTCGCTCGCGGACTGTGGACGAGTGCGTGTGAGTGCCTCTCAGGCTGCCTCTTGCGCTACTTCGGTCTCTTCTTGTAAGTACTACGAGACTCCTTCCTCCCTCAACTCTCGCAATCGCAGGCTACCGTCTTCCCCCGAACGCAATGCATGCATGCATATAAGCGATCTTTCCTGTCAAATACAGTCATGACAAAGGTGCGTTGTGCTCGGGGGCCGAACGGTTCAGACGCGTGCACCTCGTTCGCAGTGAACTTATCATCCGTGTTCCACGACAGTTTTTTTTTTTTTTTTTAATTCTATAGGCAAACGCCTTCCAGAAATTCTCAGCGGCCTTTCGGCCCCTGAGGGGGTTTGGAATATAGTTTTCAACCAGCAATAGACGCGTCTCGGTTAGACAGAAAAGTTTTAAAACAACAAAAAACAGTTATAAAGAACGGTAAACACCACAAACACTGCGTTTGGAGGACGAAGATGAGCGGCACAAACTCAGACGGTGCATGAGAATAGAGGTTCACGCACAAACTCAGGGCATATGCGTCGAGCTCATGCCGTAATTGCGGTCAGATACATTCTAATCTAAAAAGTCCTAATGTGCCCTCAGACTTCGCATGATGACAGGCTGCGGATGAGAATAGAGAGGTTCAAGTGTTTTTTTTTTTTTTTTTTTTTTTAATTATGAAAAAGCTATGTTCTTCTCTCAATTTCACCTCACACTACCTACCTACCACTACTCCTAATTGTAGGCATACGGGGACCCACGTAGCAGCCAGAACCGTGTTCACGAGAGAACATGCGGGGGCTGCTCCGGACCTGCAGGTGGGCGATACCGGCTACGTAGGGTACAGCCGGTAGCATCAGGGACCATGCCAACAGGACCAATCCCTGTGCCTCCCCTCAGGTGGTGGTCCCCTCCCCTACGAACATCAGCAGACTCTGCTCAATGCCGATCGGGGGTGCAAACTACTCTGATAAGCATGCCAACCTTTCTTGGCCTTGTGGGAAAAGAAAGATCACGTGATAGTATCTGTCCTCATGAGTTCAATGTCTTTTTTTTCCCTTTTTTTGTCGATCAGGTATCGAACTGACCAGATATCAATACCTTTCTCGGCCTTTTGGCTAAGATCAAGTGTAGCATCAGTTCAATACCTGATCCGTGGTCCATCGGGGGAAAAGAAAAAGCCAAGATTGTCTTCAACAGAATCAAATCCACAATCCTGTCCGAACCAACCACCGAAAATATCCAAACGACGGGCTGGCCTAGCTCAGGGCCTACTCACACTAGGGCCTTTTTAGTTTTGGACGTGACTGTGGTCGGATGCATCCAAGTACGTACGGCCGTAATTACTGTCAGATACATTTATAAGACTGTGCTGGTGTGAGTATGCTCTCCGTTGTTACATCCCTGAACTATTGGAATACAGACGTGAGTTCCAACTCCGCTATACGCAGATGAGCGGGTGAAATTCTACAATTCTGAATTACCTTGGGCTGGTCAGTTCTTTGATGATCAGTCTCCTTGCATTACTCTTCACTCATGAAAAAAAGCAAGAGTGTTTCAAGAGCTGTCAGACTCTCGAAAAGCCTTAGGTCCAAAATCCTGCCATCTCCCCACTTAGGGCCTCGCCACACCACTCTCGAATCTCGAAAATTCGTGAGTCCCGCACCGCCACACAGCATCCCTCGAAAAAAAAAAACTTGAAACTGTTCGAGAGCTGTCAGGAAGGAGTTTTTGAGTGCCCTCTTGAAACGATGTTTTCGCCCAGCCTGCAGCGTTGGAGTTTTCGTGATACCGCCCCTCCGCGCTTGAGTTCGACGTCCATTTCGAGAGTTGTCAGGCCGTTTTTCGTGATGCAGCCCGTCCGCGCTCGAGTTCGTCCATTTCGAGAGGCCAGTCTAGTGCGCTATGTGGCGAAGGGCCATTTTCTCTCGAAAACCGGGCTCTCGAAAAATCCTGACAGCTCTCGAATATTTTCGAGATTCAAGAGTGGTGTGGCGAGGCCCTTACTCTAGAAAGCAGAACTCTTGAAACACACTTGCTGTCGCTTAGTGCTTTTCAAGAGCACTACAGGACAAGGCCAGCCTGGTTTGTCCGCCCAGACTTGAGGCACGCTCTTCAAAGTAGGCCGCGTTTCAAGGGTTCTTGTGAGCACCCTAGAAAAGCAGGCTTGTTGCAGGCTGGTGCTCTTGAGAGTTCAAGGGCACCTTACATGACCTGGCTCTGTTTCATGAGCAATTTCCAAGAGGCAGAAAAACAGTCTCACAGTAATTTTCAAGGGGATAATAGGTACTAGAAAGAGCCCACGCCAAAACCTTTGGGACCCCTGACCCGTTTGGTTCTACCAGCCCAAACGTCTTCAGCCTGGGTGAAAGGCGCCAAATGTCTTCAGCCTGGGTGAAAGGCGCCTTCGCGCCCTGGCCACATCTTCCTGGGCCTGTTTTCACCGATTCAAGAATTTGGCTCTGTTTTTGTGCCAGATTCATGAACCGGTGTCGGCGCGAATACCCTTACAAGGGTATCCGCCCTGGTTTTTGCAAGCGACAGAAAATAGTTGGTTTAAAGTTAAGTATACCGCGCTAGTCGCGACTGTGTCTGTGATTACGTTGACTGGATGGCTGACTAGAGTAGAGAGTGCGTGACCGTGCAGGTTTAAGGCGCGAGTGATTCCGTTTCTATCTTTGATTGTGAAGCCGGCGCGGACGCCGGCCGGCTTAATTTTTAATTTCTCCTTTATTTTTATTTTTGGGTACTCGTGATTAAACTAGGATCTAGGGGGTATCTTCTTTCGACGGCTACGAGTCGAACGCGCGTGCGGAGAACGACCCCGATGACGGCATCGGCAGCGACGGCGCGACTTCGTGCGGTGAACGGGGTGTCGTAGGATGGCGCACAGGGCAATTACGGCACGGTCTAAGCAAGCCGGTGTGGGCACTAGGGAGCTGCGCAGCCGGTTTGGGGGCCCAAAGCGCCGCGCCACACTGCCTAGTATGGTACTCTGCGGGCGTTGGTTTCAGGTTGGGGCATAGCCCTATAGGTTACGGCGATGGACTATTGCTACGAAGGTATGAGGATCGGGGCCAGCGGGCAGCGACGTGGGAGCAATGGAGCTGCGAGGAGCGAAGGGGTTGAGGGTCTCGCGGGACTATCCCCCTTTTGTCTTGTCGGGGGAGCCCAAACGCAGGCCCGCATTGCTGGGCCAGAGGAGAGCCGGTGGGATCCGCGCGCGGCCTAATCTTTTTGATGGTACTCCCCGGGTCTCGTTTTAAGTTATATCGCTGTTTTGTTCCCTACCCTTACTCGTAAGGCCCCGCTAAGGCTCCGACACTAGTCCCGAGTTCGGGCTGTCGAACCAGGGGCTTAGAGCGAAGCAGTACAGCCATGGACTGTTGGAATACGGGCCGAGTTCGAGCCCGGGGAGAGCGGTTACGACGGGCCAGGGGCAGGGCGTCAGGCCTGTCTGAGGATGGCGTTTTTCCCCGCCAGCAGGCCCGGTGAGGGGTCCGAGGGGAGGGGACCTGTGTAGCCACTGTGCAGGGGTCAGTGTGCTGGGAACGGATCAGGACGGGATACGGGGTAGGTGCGTGCAAAAGAAGGGGGAGGAAAAGGTCGGTCGGCCTTTGGAAGCACCGTGGGGCGTCCACCGCGGCGTAGGACTCTGTCCTTCGGGACATTCGTTAAAATTAGAACGATTCAGAGAAAGATTTGCATGGCCCGCACGCCCGGGCGACAGGCATAAATCGGACGAGGTCCGACGGAGGATCATTCCTTTTTCCCCTGGCACTCGTCCGACCGTCGGACTGCGCAGCGCTGGTGGGCCGAGCGGTGACGTCAACCCGGCGCGCTCAGTGCAGCTGCAGGGAAGTGGGGGTAGCGGGTGAACCTGACCGGGACCCGCGTCAGGGTGCGGGCGGAGTGAGGTGCCAAGGAGGGAGATGAACCCGGTATGAATCCGGGCTAGATACGTGCAGGAGGAGTATGGCTAGACGGTGTTGCGTAGTGGGTGAGTGAGAGTGCAGTGGGCGGACGGGCGATGTAAGCTCGGGGGCGGATGGAAGATGGCAGGGAAGAGGGAATGAACCTGGCCGCGAGTTCGCGCTGGGTTCATTCGGAGGGAACAACGACAGAGAGGAGAGTCGGGCGCAGTAAAGAAACGATGGTGCAGGCGAACCTTAAGGTCGCCCGTTCCCATGCTTTTCGGCGAGGGAACGGGCGACCTTAAGGTTTTTGGGGCAGGTGAAGCCATCAGTGCTGTTAGTTTTGTCAATAGGTTAGTGTAGTAGGGGTTAGTGGGAAGAAATTGTGCGCGTGGTTGTGGCAGGCAGCGGAGATGGCAGGTGAAAAAAGGAGGTAACCCGCTCGTTTCTTGACGAAAACGGACGGGGAAAAGTTCGTAATAGGGGTGTTGGGCTGGGACGAGTCTAGCGGTAAGGTTAGTTTAGGTGTTATATTAGTAGGATAAAAGTTAGTCGAGGAAAGGCCTACGAGGAGAGTGTCGGGGGGGAGGAGGCCGTAATATGATAACGAATCTTTCCTCGTTTTAGCGGAAGATTCATTCTCGGTTTCTCTCTTTTCTCTTTGTTGTCTTTTGTTGCACGTGTTCGTGCGGGGCCCGACCTTCTGCAGTAAGCGACATAGAGAGAGAGAGAGAGAGAGAGAGAGAGAGAGAGAGAGAGAGAGAGAGAGAGAGAGAGAGAGAGAGAAAGAGAGAGAGAGAGCCAAGGGAAAGTGGGGCGTACGTACCTGGAGAGGAGTTGGTGACGAGGGGCGTGGTCGCGGCCGCCTTTGAAGGTTATGGGGTGGGGCGAGCCTGACC